GTTCGTCAACAGAACTGACATTGGCTTTCGTTTTTTTTTTAATCAAGTAATTCTAGAGTTTTTATTTTTCCTTTTTTTCCCCTTAGGTTTAGTTTTTTTTTCCCAACTACTGGTAGGTGTAGGCTCAGCTCTAGAGTTTTTATTTTTCCTTTTTTTTCCCTTAATTTTAGTTTTTTTTTCCCAACTACTGGTAGGTGTAGGCTCGGCCAGGGTCGGGCAACCCGTAGCGGGAGGTTTGGGCCTTAACAACCGGAGGGTCTTGGTGGTTTGAGCCTAGGTAGCAAATCCGGATATCCGGCAGACCAATTTTATCCGGGGTTTTCAATCCGGATGAGATTTCTGGAATCCGGATGAGATTTTCGGAATCTGGATGAATACCGGATCTGGAAAATTCGGCCCTACGCAAAATACGTGTTTTAACCGAAAAGAGAAAAAAACAATTCATAAAAATATGGAAAAAACGTATGATACAAACAACTTTTGGCTTGATTGCCATCTTTGATATCTCAAGTTTTCTCCACATATATGAAGATAAAAAATAGAACAGAAAAAGAAAACAATATTTAGATAAAATTTCATAAAAATTAATAAAATGAATTAAGCACCCCCCCTCTAAACCCCTTTATTCCCTATCTTACCCCCTTTGAACCCTTCCGTGCTTCAAATTCTTCTAGGCAAGTCTTTGGGGTTACTATATAGAATTCCAACCTGACGGTTGCCTGGGAGGGCCTTTTCCACTCACTGATTTTTCCTAATCTTCTACAGACTGAGTTTGGTCAGTGATTCCAAGCAGAATTTTCTCAAGTTTCGCACTCACTAAATTAATAATTTGGTTTTCAGGACAGCTATAATTGGTTTTCAGGACATCTGTAAGGTCACCTATAGTTATCAAAGTGTGCGACAGAACTTCACACTAGTGCCCAAAGTGCCGTGAACTCCACAGCGCTATAATGCCCCCGCTGAGGGCTTACAAGCACCTTATATCCAGTATCCAACTTCTTTCACGCCCATATCCTTGTTGCTCTTTTTTTTTTTTTTTTTCCACTGTTTTTTTTTTTGGTCGTTCATTTCGGACGAGTACCACCCAAGAAAACACATAGGGACTCAGGGGTTCGTTAGACACTCCTCGGGCGCGTAAAGTCCCCGAGGAATTGTTCGTTCCACCTATCCTCGGGGATGCAGTCGGAAGAAAAAAGTGAAAACACTCCGAAGGAAATTCCTTGGGCTCTGAGGATTGCCCAGCCATCTTTTCCTTGGGCAAAAGGAATCCACGTTTCACGGACAGGAGCGGGCACATGGGTAGAGAGACGTTACAACCGAGAATCCGGATCGTAGCGGCACCCTATTGGCTGAAGGCCTCAAACACATTTGATTTTTTTTTTCTTTTCTTTTTTCTTTTCTGACATAGCTTGAAGGAAATGTCATCCAGCGGCCTAGCTCAGTTGGTTAGGCATGCAAGTGGCATTCAGGAGGTTGTGGGTTCAAGCCCCATGGCCGCCTGCGGCGCACTTAGTGCCAATGGACTGTGATAGTCCTCTGGATACCCCTGATCGGTATTAGCGGGGTCTATGACCAACACGGGTGTGAGTGTGAGCGCGAGTGGGTTGTGTGTGGTGTGTGGGAGAGTGTTGGCCATAGCCTCTGCCGCTACTTGATGAAGGGTGGGGGTCGATGAGAAAGGGAGGCACAGCTACTGGCAGGTCTCGGTCTTTGTGTTAGCCAGACCCCCACTGGCGGCCCCAACCCTATACCCTAACCATTAGGGGCAAGGGGCAACATGAAATCTCCCCTTCACAGAGAGAGGAAAACTATGCTTGCAGGGGTCCTCTCTAGATAGTCTTAGGAGTAGGTAATGGAAGGTAAAGAAACAGAAGTTGAGAGAAGAGTATAGAAAGAAAGAAAAAAAAAAAAAAAGAAATGTCATCGGGCGACGTCCCCGAGGACAGG